CCCCCCCCCCCCCGGGGGGTGGCTGCCACCTGTGGAGGGGGTCAGGTTTACCGGGGGTGGGGGTCGACGAGGTCGGGTGTCGGGGGAGCGGGGGCCGGGGGTTGGGGGTGCGGGGGTTGGCTGGGATCAGGGTTGTGGGGGTCGGCGGGGGTCGGATGTCGGGAGTGAGGGGGTCGGGGGCCGACGACCCAGATCCGCAGAGAAACTTAACAGTCCTCCGCTGATTCGTTCTTATTTTTCAAATTCACAGTTGTACTGCACTTGCTGAGTACTACCCAAATCCGCTGAGAAACTTCGATTTCCGGGTGGTGGGGTGACGGGGGTTTGGGGGGGGAGAGAAATTACTCCTTAAAATTATTTCAAAACCCCTCGAGGGTATTTGACAGGCCCTTTCACCTAATCAGCAAGGGCCGCCTCACCGCAAATGAGGTAAATGTTCATAGCAGAGTCATGGCACGCCAAGTATATATGCTGTTGATTTCACATTAAGGTCCATGTCTCAGGGGTTATGGGACCACTGAGCACAGGAGTTTTTGGGCAGTAGAAAGTCACTGCTCGTAGGAAAAGGAAACAATAAGTTAAAAAAAAAAAAAAAAAAAGCAAACAAAAGAAAGAGAGGAATGAATCTTCTGCTAGAACATGAAACCGTACGTCGCCATATGTTTTGTCTTTTGTGCAAGTGGTAACGAGTGGAGCAAGGCCCTTAGCGCCACTGCTCGTAGGAAATCGAAACAAAAGAGACAGAGGAATGAATCTTCTGCTAGAACATGGACTCATACAGTGCCATATGTTTTGTCTTTTGTGCAAGTAGTGACTCGTGGAACAAGGCCCTTAGGGCCAGTGCTCGTACGAAAATGAAACAAAAGAAACAGAGAGCTACGGCGTAAGTAGCCCATAACTGCTGGAAAGCAGACCTGACTTCGGATCCAGAGCATATATTGCTGGCCTGCTCTATGGCCACATGAATTTGCTGAACGTCTCTTGAGACGTTAGGACCTTTGCAGATGCACTGGAATCCTTCGGGAAAAGGACAATTCAACAAGGAATTTGTATGTTCAAATTTTTTGGTGATACTATTAGGGGTTTTGTATCCCCCCAAAAAAAAAAAAAAAAAAAAAAAGGGTTAATGGTCATATTATTAGGGGTTCCAGACCCCCCCCAAAAAAAAAAAAATTGCAGGGTGCCTACAACTTGGGAGGCGGGGGGCCGGTGGTCGTCGGGGTTCGGGGCTTGGTGGTCGGGGGTCGAGGTTCGGCGGGGGGCGGGGGGGGGCGGGGGCCGGGGGGGGGGGGGCGGGGGGGGGGGGGGGGGGGGGGGGGGGGCCCGGGGGGGGGGGGGGGGGGGGGGGGGGGGGGGGGGGGGGGGGGGGGGGGGGGGGGGGGGGGGGTGGGGGGGACGGGGGGGGGGGGGCCTACGTGCCGGGGCCGGGAGGGTGCGGGCACCGAGGGTCCGGGGCTAGGGTTGGCGGGGGTGCGGGGGTCGGGGACGGGGTGCTGGGTGCCGGGGTTGGGGGCCCGCTGGGGTGCCGGGGGTCGGGCGAGCGCGGGGGTCGGGCGAGCGCGGGGGTCTTCAGCGGGGTCCGGGGGTCGACGCCCCCGCGGGAGGGGGTCCGGGGGTGAAATCCCCGCCCGGCTTTGCCTCCGGGGGTCCCCGGGTGACAACCCTAGTAGTAGCCCCGGTCCTGAGAATAAATCACCGCAGTTGTCCCAAACCTGAAAATAAATCTCCGTAGTGAAATAGCTGTCACCGGGCCCATACCGCACCTGAAGCACGTCAGACACCGTAGGACGTAGCCACTCCGTAACAACCCTCGTATCCGTACCGAACCAAACACCATAGTCGACCCAAGGTAGCACCACCCCATGCTGTCCATGCGACTCCCGCTCTCAAAACATCCCAACTGCGGTAATGTTAGTAATCAAGCAAACAAGGGAAAGCGACGCAGGGAACCTCGACCATCGGTAGTAGTGAAAATTGTTGAAATCCGGGAAAAATGTTCAATCCGGGGTCAGAGTTGATGGCGGGTAATCGAGGCGAAATTAGGCCAATCTCCCAATAATCATGGGTTCCCGTCCCTTTCATCATTTTTCATCATTCTTCCCTTCCCTTAATTCTATTGTTGGAAATTGTAAATTATCCGTAAGATCCCCAAAATGAAATTCCGAAAAAGTTCAAATAAATGGCCGAATTCCTTTTGTTTCTTTTCTCTCTTACCATTTTTAATCTTTTTCTATGTTTTTAATTTCATTGCCGGGAACATAAAATAACAAGGGTATTCCCCCTATAATTAAATGCCGTGAAAAATAAAGAAATTAAGGGATATTATGTTTTCCCCTTCTCCCCTACTAGTCTTAATCCCTTTTCCCCATCTTTAATTATGGCACAAATATAGACAAAAATTTGAGGCCTCATTTCGGCCCCGGTCGTATGCTGCAAAAGCGTCGCGGCGAGGTCTGTTCCCGTGATGCCTCCTTGCGGCAGACCAATCCGGCTCCAGCCCTCTGAACAGCCGGGAATGACGGTCTCTAGATACGCCGAGTGCGCCCACCCATCTCGCTATCTTTGAGGGTTACTTGTAAGGTTCAGTGCGCCCAGAATCAGGGGTACCCTAAGTTCCCCTAATTTCTGCTGCGCGGTCAAACCAGAGTACCGTCAAAACACGGACTTGCCCTTGAGCCTAAGTCCCAAAGCCGCAGATTGCAGGCGGCGCACTGCTTGTGGCCGCCTGACAGTTAGCCCGGACCACTTCTCAAAGCCCCCGTCGAACCCTAACCTCTCATGTCAAATGAAACGGACGAGCTTCAGGGTGATTGCCCGTAAAGGTCGTCCACGTCAGCGTTTGATTGTCTTAAGTTTTGGTTTGTTATGAGTTCTGGGACTAAGAAGATGTTTCTTGACTTCCCTCTTTCTTCTGTTTTTTTTCCTTGGCACGACCCTCTTTTCCTTCTGTCGTTGGCCCGAAAAGGGTGCCGTCCCGCCAGTCTGTCGAATGCGAACTCTCCGTCTAACCTTTTTTAGCACGAATAACCATTTATTCTCTCTTCCTAAAGCCAACCCTTTGACCTTTCTTTTCTCTATTCTTTTCCTCTTCCTGGAACTCTCTCCTGCCTCGAATCGTCTCGAGGTGGCTCCATCCTCCATTCTGGCTTTCCCTTTCCGTTCTGAGTTTGTCAGCGATAAGGTGGGAGCGGGTCTGGGTCTAAACAGCTTTAACCTAGCACTCACCACTGGGTCCTTCCACTTGGATCCGTCTAATTCTGCTATCATATATGCACCCCAGTCGAGCACCTCAACCACTCTGTAAGGTCCCATCCATCTGTTGGCGAGTTTTCCGGTCCAGGTCCTCTCCAGTGCTGCGTCGTAGAGAAGGACCATATCTCCTACGCTCACCCTCTCTTTCCTGATTCGCACGTTTTTATCCCATCTCTCTTTATCTTTGTCCCTTTCCATTGCCAGACGATATGCCGCTGTCATAAGGTTATCTTCCAAACCGTAGGCTATCTGTCTTGTTCAGGCGGCTACGAGTTCCTCCCTGGACATCTCCTCCGCCCAGTCGACGGTTGTCCAACTGTCGATGTGAAACTCTATGGGGAGCAGACAATGCCACCTAAACCACAAGGTGTATGGTGGGTATCCAGTGCTAGCCCGGACCGTGACGTTGTCCGCCCATATCGCGTACCGAAAATATCGTGGCCAATCACTGTCCCTACCTTTGCACCGCTTGGATAGTGACGCTATCAGAGTCTGGTGCCCCCTCTCTACTGGGGAGTTCGACTGTGGATGGTAGGCGGTGGCTATCGAAACTCTCGCCCCAGCTCTCTTGAACACACTCTGGACCTTATCAGCTAGGAATTTCGCCCCTCTATCCATCACTATCTTGCTGACATAACCATACCTAGATAGGTACTCTAGGACGAAGTTCTTCACTTCCTTTGCCGTCTTACTCCTGATAGGTCTACCGTCCACGAACCCCGTGAAGTCGTCTCGTATATTCACGACATAGTTCATATTGCCTACCCCTTTCAGCATCTTCACCAGATCGATGTGTATCTTCTCTCCTGGTCTGGTTGGATAGGATGGATGAAGTGGCTCTTTGTATTTCACAAGAGTTCTCTTCTGGCACTCCTCGCAGGTCATACAATACCTCTCGATGTCCTTATACTGTCCTTCCCACCAGTACAACCTGCGTACCTTTTCGTAGGTCCCTTTGACTCCTCTATGTCCTCCGACCACCCCGTCGTGAAGCTCCGCTACTATCGTCTGTCTCTCGTCAGGGTCACAGACTACTCGTAAGGGCATCCCCGATCCTACTGGCCTTCGGAAAAGGTGGCCCGCTCTAAGGCAGTACTGGGCTGCTTGTCTCCGGATATTTGAATCTTGACTCCCCTCTCCTGTCAGGTGTAGCCCGATCGTTCGGTACTTGCCCAGAAATCGCTCGGCGCGTCTCGGCTCCGCCATTGTCAGGGCTCCAACCACTATCGGGCGCTCGCCCTCAAGAGGGATCCGAGAGAGTCCATCCGCTAGACATTTTTAGTGCCAGATATCCTTTCTACTGTGTAATCATATAGCCGAATCTGTATCAGCCATCGAGCAATGGTCGGGTCCGTCAGGCTAAAGTCCTTCTTCTGGAGGATAAAGGCAACCGTTGTGGGATCTACTCTCAAGATGAACCGACGCCCATAGATATAGTGTCTGAACGTGTCCAGACACCGCAGAACGACCAACACTTCCTTCTTGAATTGACTGTAGTTTCGTTCTGCCGTATAAAGCGTCCTACTCTCAAACCTTAAAGGCCTTTCTTTTCCTTTAGCGTCTTTCTGAGACAGCAGCCCTCCAACTGAATAAGGTCCAACATCTGTAGATACTATGAAGGGTCTCTCGGTCTCATCGTCAAAGAATGGCACGCCCAGTATGCGTCCTCCCTCCTTAAATTCGTCTTTAAGCTCTTGCATAGCGAGTTCCTGCGAGGAACCCAGTATAATTTTTCAGTCTTTCGAAGGAGTAACCTCAATGGCTCAGCCTTCTCCGCATACCCCCGTATGAATATACGCCAGTAACCGACAACTCCCAGAAATTGTCGGACCTCGGTTGGACTATGTAACGGTGACGGCCAGTTCAAGAGTTTGTCTAGCTTCGCCGGATCTGCTCGGCGTCCTTTCCTGTCACAGATAAAGCCCAAGATCTTAATAGTCGAGACGGCCCACCGACTCTTCGTTCCGCTGACCGTTAAATTCGCATCGTCCAACTGCTCGAGTACCGCGCAAGTATCCGTTAGGTGCTACTCGACGAATCTTCTAACTCCCGGTACAACCTCGGTCTCATCCTTCTCTACTGACCCCTTAATAGGAAAATCATCCAGGAAAACTTCAACCTTATCAGGGATGAAGTCCTTGAGGAGGGCTACCATGACTCTCTGAAAAACGGCTACCCCATTAGTCCAACCCATAGGGACAATCATCATCTGTATTAGTCCCAATGGCGTATGCATAGCCGTGAGGTGCCTGTCCCTAGGATCAAGCGGTACCTCATCATAGTCTGAGAACAGATCACAGACCAAATAAATTGACCTGCCTGCGGCGCCTTCTGCTAGTAAATCTGCGTGTGGGGCACAGAGCCCACGTCTCGTATCGTCACCGCGTTGACCCTCTGAAGGTCCTGGATCCATTGGATCTTGCCATTCGGCTTTCGTAGGAAGAACCATCGATTAGCATAAACGCTATCAGACGACTCTGCGGGCTTTCCATCCTTCTCCTTCTGGCATATTTCCATCCAGCGTCATTCCAAGGAACATGTGGAATCGTGTAAATCCTTGCTGACTTAGTGTATCGAGGGTCAACCCTACCTCGCTCCGCGTCGCTGAAAGCTATTGCCTTATCACATGTCTTCAGAATTTTTATCACACGTTCTCGCTCCTGTGGGGTCAAATTCCCATCTCCGATGTCCATCCCTGCTATCCTTTCTTTTGTTAGGTGTTGTGGCTCCTTTTTCTTTCTTTCTTTGATTTCTTTTACGACCTCTTCTTCCGATATCTCTTCCAGTGGGGATCGTTCGTGGCCCACCGCCGCTGGCTTAACTTTTTGAGCTACTCGCTTGTGTCGCTTGGGTAGCCCCCCATAGGGGGTCGTGCCCTTAAAAAAGACACAGATACCACCCCGCGAAATTCCTCATCTGTCTCCTTTGGGTACGAGTTGCCGTCCACTATCAGCCGACCCCCTAAATCTTCCACTTCCACGATCCGACCTTCTTCCTCTGTGAGCAGTGGTCCATACTTCTTCTCGCGAAATCGCACCGCGCGGCCAGAGATAGGTAATGACTTAATCTGATCACTGGGTCTTGCTCCCACTGTGAGAGCTGCTCTGTTCCTCGGGTCCTGAGGCTCCACCGTCTCAATCGTAACCCGCGTCTCATCTAGCTTCTTAATGGACAATGTCTCGCTCCCATCTGGTCGCTCTATCGTCACCGCATGTACATGGCTCAACCACGTTCGTCCCAAGAGCAAATCGGAGCTCCAGTTCTTAACTGCAAAGACGGGCAGAGTCACTCCTACCCCTTGGACCTCTATGGCTGCCTTGTGACAAACCCCAGTGATCTGTTGCTTTCTCCCATCAGCAGTCTCTATCTCGAATAGGTATGACCTATCGAGGCCCAGTCCAACCTGTACTGCCAGATCCTCGTCCATAATGACAGCCTCACTACCGTTATCGATCACAGCATCTAGTACCGCTCCATCGTTTATGATCGTCTCCACGGCCCCACTACCGAGTATGTAAAACTTGTCAGGAGGCACACCTTCCATCCCATCAAGAAGGACTGTCGACATGCGATCCGCCTTGGCAGTCACCCCCGTTGCTGCTACGGTAGGAGCTCCCGCCTTAGGGGCCCCCTGAGCCTCCTCTGATAGAGATATGCGAGTCTTCCGCGTGATCATCTGCAACTCATCGCGAGCCGGCTTCGATGCCGCCAGGTACTCCAGAATAGAGCACTGTATGGGCTGCCGAAGGGCTCGTCTCTGTGGCTCGACCGTGTCAATCTCATCCAGCGAACTCTTCATCAAGAACTTCTTTACTCCCCGCTTTCACGGCAAAAGAATAACCTCCTCTCCATCGATCCGCTGTCTGCCGTCCTTCTCCGCCATCACGTAATCCGTGTCGGTCTTCTTCGATGTAGACCCTCTCGCGGATTTGGTAGCTGCCACCCTTATGGGTGTTGTCGCCATATCTCCTTCGAAAGTTATCTTGATGCTCTGGCTCCTAACCGGCTTCTTTCCTTTACTCGACTTTACTCTCCTTGCTTTGACATTCTCCTTCATCGAAGGGAACATCGATACGTCTCCCAGATCGTCTGCCCACTTGACGTACTTGCGGTCGTCAAGCACGATAAGTCCCATATCTATTGCCCGTTGAAGGTCCGGACAATCTCTCTAGATATGATCATCTCCTCTACAGTAAACGCAAGAGTTCATGGGAGTGGGCGGCCTGTCGTCTGTGCCTCTGGATGTCGAACCTTTCACTGCTCTGGGGTCAGGCGACTTGGGATACGGCTCTGATGAGGCGCCATATCCCCCTCTCTCATGCCGACCGCGCGAATCGTTGCGGCGGTCTCCCCCAGATCCTCCTTACTCATATCGTCCCCGCGAATCGTTTCGGCGGTCCCCAGCGTCGTATCGTCCGTGTGTCTCATCGCGCCGATCTCCTCGGCTGTTCCACCCCCGCGAATCGTCGCGCTGCTCTCTCGCGTATCCCCCACGGTCATACCGTCCCCGCGAGTTGTCTCGTCGGTCCACGTTCGACCTCCTCTCTCATTTCTGCCACCTCCGTAGCCATCTCGATCCGTCCTCTCATATCTTCCGTCCCTATATCCATCTCGGTCTGATCTCTCATATCTGCAGTCCCTGTATCCGTCTCGTCCGCCCTGATATGACTCCCACCGGCCTCTAGAGTCGTCTCTACCCCGATCGGCCTCATAATGAGCGCTACGCGAGTAATCATCCAGCCTCCTAGCTCGCCCATACGTCTCGCGAGCTCTCCGGTCCCGATCTATCTCATCATCCCTACATCGTCATGGCTCATCGTCTCTCTCCCTCTCCCTCGCATGATAATCAGTCATCATTCGAGGATTTCTATCCTCGACACTCCTCAAGGAATAAATGTTCCTCCGGTCTCAGCGAAGTGAATAGGATCCTCCAGGCTTGTCCCGGTATATCGTGGCTCCTGTGGTGGTCACAATCTCTGTAACCTGTCTTGTCAATCCCTTTACCATGTCCCTTATCTCCTTCAATTCCTCAGCGACGGCTTCATTTTTCTCCGATCAGGGATAGTCCTTGAAATCAGGACATCTATCGGTGGCATACTCCTTGTAGAGGGAAAAGTCACGTCTCCTCATCCCTCTCCACACCAAGTCCTTGTAGTCATTTGCCTTTGCCCTTATCGCGAGCCTTAGGACTTCTGGGAAGTCAAGCTTGTCGCGCGGAAGATCTCTAAGTATACTTTTTTGTCTACCTTTGGACAGGTGTCCGATGAAGATAGTACAGCGCTTGACCTCTGAGATCTTTCCCTTCTTCATCAGCACGTCGGATTCTCCAATTTGTAAAGCTCTACGAGGTTCTTTTTGTACGTAGTCCATTTCCCATCCTTGGGTCGGGCTTCCTTAACTTCCTTGCCGAGGCTTGGGTCCACATTAAATAGGAAGTTTTCTATAATCTCTTCCTCCAACCACTGACTCCGACCTGCATGAAACTCCCACTTCTCCAGATATTCTGTGATCCCATAACCTGTAAAAGTAGGTGGCTCAGAGGCCTTGTGCGTAATAATATAGCGATCCTTGCTCTCGTAAGGGATCGGATGCGACTCCCCTGTCTGAGGGTCGGAGACTCGCCTGGGCGGCGCTCGGTCTCTATCTCTGTCCCTCCAATAGGAATCCCTCMCTCTCCCGCCAGTCGTCTCTGTGCCTATCCGCCATGGTCTCCCTCCGCTCATACTCGGGGGAGCGTCGTCTCGTCGCTTCTCGTCGACCGCTCGATGTTCCCGTCTTCAGTGCCTCCTGCGGCTTCGTCACGACCGGCTCGCCCATTACGTCGGGCTGTCCGTCATTGGTTTGGTTAGCCCATCTCAGCGGTGCGTCCCGCCTAATTCGTTCCTTCAGATCCCTCAGAGCTCGGTCGGGCGATGTCTTGTACTCCTCTCTTGTCTCAGTCGTGGTCGGTTATGGCCCCATTGTGTCTGGTTCCATAAGCCACCAGAAGACGCAATCAGGCTCTCTCGCCGGGTGTTACAGCCCGGACTTATGACAATTATTGCAGCCCGGACCTGTGACGGAACTCGCAGCCCAGACCAGTTTCCTTGTCACAGTTCACGCTCGTCACCAACCCTAGCTCTCGACTGCCTTGATCACTATCACCTGTACTCGGTTCCGGTCGCGGATCTCGTGCTCTCCCTCATTCCTAAGAATCCCTGTGTCTAGCTAGACCTCCCCTTCGGGATCGGCCAACAAGGCCGCGCCTCTCCGGATCTGCAGTATACCCGTGACAGGATCTCTACACCTGCGGCAGATCGCAGTCCCAAGCCAAGCCAATGTCTCCTGATCAACACCCCTTAAGAGCCTCTGAGCGTCTAACTCCGCCCTCCTTGCTAGGTCTCCTAGCCCGTCCTGAATCGGGTAGCGTGCTGAAAGTGGAAGCTCTCCTCCTACTGCCATCCAAAGTCACCCGCCGACCTTTCTGACCTGTACTTTCTTTCCAAGAGCTTCCAACCTCTATTTCTCCTCCTTCAACTCCCAAACAGCTATGAGATCATTTGTCTAGCACCTGAGGTAAGTCAGTGCTATAGCTACTCATAACCTCATCGCCGACAGCTCCAAAATGTCATAGAATGTCTCAAAGTCCTCCTCATCTCCACCATCTTCTATAGCCTCTAAAGCCTTTATCGACTCCTTCTAGTACCGATCGTGAGCGGCTAGCACCCTGAGTATGGCACCGTCTGTTACAACTCTCCCTAACTTTCCAACTTTCCTGGCTTCGCTGATCTTCAATCTCTCAGCCTCTCTGGTCGTCTCGTACCATGCCCTTATCCGCGACCGCCCTTCAAAAGGTATTACTCGGAGTACGTATTTTATCCTTCGTCCTCCTTCTATTCCAATCCAAAGTCTTGTCCCCCTGGCCTCACGCAGGGCACGGCGGATACACTCTGCCTCCTCAACTATGCACAGTCTGGTATGGAGCTGGAGCTCTACGATCACTAACACCAATGGTCCGTCCAATCTCCCTACCACATGCAATGAATACCGATCCGTCGTGTGTAGTGCAATCCCGCTCATGTTCTGTCGCTACCTCCCTACGTTACCTCGTCCTCCGTTGTCACGCCCTCTGCAGACCTCTCACTAGTTCCTTCGCGTGATACGCTTCTAGCCTTTACCCTCTCCAGAAAGTCTAATCTCCATGCCTGGATAATCTCTCTTTCCTCCCTAAACAGACTCTCCAACTCTCGTCACGAGCGCAGCCTTACACAACTTGCTCTCATCCTGGCACGACCAGATCTCCCTTAACTTGTTCCCCAACTCCTTTACCTGGTTCAAAAGCGGTTCTTTAATGCGCTCCCTCACTCTTCCGACTGCATCACTCTCCTCTTCCATACTCAGTCTTCATCTTTTTTTAGCTCATCCTCTCACCCTTGCTCTAGCCTCCTCTACCGTCTCGTCATGGAAGTGCTCCGCACGCATATAGCCATGTGATCATATCATCACCTCATAGGAAATCGAGGTCTGGAAGGTCACCCACGCCAGTACATCAGCTCTATGCTCGTGGATCAAATCCCTGGCTCGTTGTCTGCACTCCCTGGCTGTCAAGTTCTCATCTATGTACGCTCGGAGTAGTGTTGTCACAGTGTACCCCGTGCTCACCAGTTGCTCTCCAACACGCATCACTGTGGCCGTCCTCCCCGGCATTCCCTAAGCTGCGGCCTCGAAGAGAAACCTCACATCCTCTAGCCCCATGTAATCGATCTCCGCCCGTCTCCTGCAGTACCTAATCAGATCTACTGGCCTCAGACAGTACACCCAGCTAGTAACGTCTATGATGTCGTCAAGCGTCTCTCTACTTGGCGGTCCCCACCTCACACAAATGGCGTAGTATACTTCCCTGAAATGGGGCGCTAAGCCCTCCCAAAGTGCGTAAAGTGTGTGGTCCACTGCTCTACTCAAACGTTCTACGCTCCCATAGGTCTGCCCTATCACGAAGGCAGGAAGTCCGAATTGCCAATCCTCTCTCGGGTAGAGGGTCGGATGTGGTGGACCGTATACCAAGCGGCTCCAACCCGTCCTCCCTCCAGAGAGTCTCGCCAGTTGCCGATTGACGATCACTCTGGCCAACGACTCGCTTCTCCACCAAGCCCTTCTTGCTTCTGCGAGCGTCAGTCCTACTTCTAAATCGTGCGCTCTATCGGCTATCAGATGCCCGACCCCTTCTAGGCTATGAGTCCTCTCGGGTCGTTCATCTCTTAGTATCACTGTCCAAAGAAAGAGTCCCTCTGCGAGCCACGTTCCCAGATATCGTATCGGAATACGCCCTGTCCCCTCTAACGCCACAGGAAGAGGAATGTCGTATCCAACCGCCGTCTCTCTGGGTCTCACAAGCTTCCTCACGCTATAGGATTCGGACTCTCGCGAGAGAACATAGGCTAACCAGATTTCTTAGTCACTCCTCATCTCCCCTCTGACTCTCGATCAGCATCACTCTACTCCCTCCAACACACCCTATCTCTCGACGTTGCTAACTCCTCAKACAACTCTCCCACTSAGATCYAGTATGGTCGAGTAGGTGYTGTGCGCTCTCCCGTCTGCTCCATGGAAGTAGATAGTAAACTCGACGTACCTCTGGCTCCTCCGTATCTCCAGGGCATGCTCCGTCATGAGTCTGATCTGTCGCTCAACAATGTCCAACGCTTCATGTTCCCAGCCTCCTGTCGTATCTCGCCGTAGGGAAAGAGTCACCCTCAGTATATCCCGGTCTGCCCTCTTCTACACTACTCCCTTCTCTAAACCTCACTCAGATATTTCCTGCCTCTAGTCGTCTTCATGCATCTGGCATATCCTCATCTGCGTCCTCATCTACTCTCTAT